TTGTTCTTAACAAATATGAATAACGTATATGGAATACATACGTACGAATGCGTGTATGTATATACATACACACTTTCATACCGTTTGTATTGTTTCAATAAGCCACTAAAAATTACAGGGATTTTATTTTGTTGCTTTATTGGCGCCCTTTAGCTGCTGAAGCAATTTTCGGAACAGCATTTATATTTAAAAAAAAGACATAAAAAATACAAAATATGCGAGCATTTACAAATACACAAAGGAGTAAATAAACAGTGACAAGCAACATGAAATTGACGGCTGACAATCGTTACAGAGTAAATACATAAATACAAACCAACGTGATATCAAATATACACTTTACATGACGACATGGACAAGCACGCTACATATACATACACGCACACACACACACACACACAGAAGTACTCATGTTGCAACTACACAGCGAAAGTGCTTAACGTTTCAGGCGAAAATTCACGCCATCAATTGACTAAATCTCCAAAACCGTTACATATTATCCGCGCACGATTTAAGGTCAAGCAAATCGACCAATTTTGACGTAAATTCACTCGCACGGCAATGGTATGCCGCAGCTTATGTAGTTGGCGTGTTTAAAGGCGGATTGGCGCAAAATGTTACGTATACGACAGGTAAGCCCCAAGTGACAAATTGCCCTGTGTGTCGTGCCACATTGCCTGCATGCATAAGTGAGTGAGTGAGTGAGGGAGTGATTGAATAAAAGCACTAGTGAAGGTGTGTGAAACTGTGGTTTGAAAATTTCGACGGAATTCAAGGGTTGAATATTTAATATCGATTTGTTATGGAGGTAATTTTGTATTTATTAATAAAATTCCTTTCATAAATGAAAAAAAAATTATATAATACATTTACAGCAGGGTGCTCACGAAAAACATACAGTTTAACTAAAGAAATAATTCTTTTTTTTTGTCAGTCTACCACCCAACATTTTGGCATAGTAATTATATAATAATTAATTTGCGGTCTGAAAATCCAAAAAATTTTTATATATGTCTTAATTTGAGAAATCAAAATGTAACAACCCTTATATCTGTTGACTTGATGATTAGAGGCTTAACACGATACATGAAACTCATCCACACCACCTGGCATACGTATATCTACTATATGCTGTTGCTGGTGGTATCTATGCACAAATTGATGTGTATTTATGTGTGTGCGTGTGTGTGTTAATTGTCTGTACAAGTGTGCGTGTGACAAACAATAGGAGGTCAGCTAATAAAGCAACAAACAACCATTGCAAGCCACTTAAGCATCATCAACTAATTGACTTACTTATGTACTTTCACTTTTAATAACGGTTTATTAGTTGAGTTGAATTGAATCGAATTGACTTGGGTGGTTGCTTGTGTATATACATATGTGTATGCTTGTATATATATGTATATATGTAGCCTTGCTGTAGAACGTGTAGCATGTAATAAGCAGATTAATCGTTAAGCTTACATAGCGTAGCAATAAAATGGAATAACGTGTATTTTATGCAAACAGAGATACATAAAATAAAGATTTTTTCCAAATTACTGCTGTTTCGATAAATGGGAGCGATATCGCCGAAGCAAACAAATAGGGGTCTTAGAAAATGAGCAAAATCTACTTGTACAAATTAACTCAAATTAAACAACATCGTATTATTGGGTGTACGCATTAATTCGTGCGGCTTTTTCGAAAATTAAAACTTTATTGTAATAAAAATGATTTAAATCGTCTGAAAACGGGCTGGATCAACTATTTTTGCGAGTTCTTCTTGCGTCTGGCCTGCATCTGCGTCGAGCAAACTCTTCGTCTTCGTCTTGAAATTGTTTTGGCTGTCCGTCATCTAAGTCGAAATTGGCTTTTTTAAACCATGCAAACCACCTTTGGCCAAAGCATGGTCACCATAAACGTCCAGTAAAATGCGATGGCTTTCGGTGGCACTTTTCTTCATGTTGAAGTAATGAATAAGAGCTCTCCGCAAAATCACTTTATCTGGTACAAATGACACAAATTGTTGTTCACGCTAAAATAAAGGACATCTGCTGAGAACGACGCGAAGTGACAGTAACTTTGAAATGAATATAGCCATAGATGAACACCACGCGAAATAATACTAGTAGAACCCTCTCTTAGGTGAATTACTTGAATGAACTCTTTCATTTGAAAGCAATATGATAGCAGGCAAGCAAGAACAAACAACAACACACAAACGTCGGCAATTCTCATAAAATTACTTAAATTAAAAAAAGTGGTTTCAGTTAAGAAAAGTTCATGCAGCTCAAACGAACGAAGTTAAAAAAAAAATAAAAACAATTTGAACCATAAATGAAAGTATTACTAACTAATTTCTGATTCTTAATCTAATCGAAAAGCTACCAAATGAACTGAATTCCAAGTGAATCGAATCGTAGCAAAGATTTGGTCCACGAGTTTCTCTTAATAAAGTTGAATTTCATTATGGTTCACTCGTTAGCAATTCAGGAGAGGCCATAAATTATTTTCAACGTAAGGGCTTCTCATTGAGCGCGATCGCATAAGTCTCGTACTGAGAATTTTTATTTTTTCTCACTTGGTTACGATAGATCTATTATTTTTCATTCATTGAAATGATAATTGCCAGTAAAGAATTGCTCAGCTTTTATGCACGTAAATGCAAGCAAACGGATCACGTATACGCACGGTCGTACCTTCCAATAAAATTTCAGCGTAAATCGACGCATGATGCCATCTATCAGGGTTATGGACTGGACCGGTGACCCTTGGTCTACTTCCGAAAATTTTTATATATTAATCCAAACCACAGAAATGGTTTTTTTGAATAGATTGGTCCTAGGTACTATTCCTTTAAGCAAAAGGCTATCAATGTATTGGATTTCAAGTAAATTGAACTATAAATTCAAATTTTTCGAATAGATCAGTCCCAGGTCCAGAACTATAAAACTCAAAATTTTCGAACGAAGTTAGTCTACGCTAAATACAGAAGTTCTACCAGGTGTGATAAAGTTCCGTTGATTAATGCCTTCAACGATAAATATTGAGTCAAGCAGCGTTTGAACCCACCAAAGATATGAAATTGACGAATTTTACGTACTGTTCAGTGATTTCATTTCATGGATATGGTATAGTTGAGTAATCTAGAAGAGAGATCGAAATGTTAATCGAAAAAAAAGGTTGTTGGTTTTTGTGTCGACAAACTTTTATACCTATCATGGAGTGATATAATCTGTTCATTATTATCATTATTCGTATGAAAGTGGCTCTAAATATAATTTATTAAACCTTTGCAAATAAATAACTTGAGCATATTTTCTCACATGTATGGCCGACCCTTCATACATTTTCGGAAACAAATTTGACTCAAAAGTATCTTTTTGGTATTCATCACACATATGATGAAATGTTTAGTGCTGAAAAATATTGCCAAAGGAGGACAAAATCACATTCCAGAATTTAAACGCTGTTAGGGATGCCTGTCTGGAGAGGCATCTAATACCCAATAGTTCTAGCCACTCACTCAATGTTATTGAAATCGAAAAACTGCATCGAACGATTTTCAAAGGCTTCTCCTTACATAAATACAGTGACAGATGGTAATCACTTGGTGTGAGGTCCCGACTATAAGATCAATGCCGAAGAAACTCTCAGCTTAGCTATCGGTGCTTCTAAGGAGCCACTATCGATATATGTAGTCTGACGTGGTCCTGCTGAAAGACTATTCCCCTCCTGTTAGCTAAAGCTGGCTTTTAGGTCAACCTGGTGATAGTACAATACAAGAGCAGGTGTAGCTCATATGGGATGATTCCTTGCCAACCCAAACAAACAACCTACAAACATCTCTGCCTCTCAATACCGGCTTAGCGACCGTTTGTGCCAGTTCTTTGCCCTTCGAGCATGAGTTATTTTTTAACATTGTTGTGAGTAAACCACTTTTCATTACCAGTGGGTCGGTTTTTTTTAAGATTTAGCAGAGATTCATAGATAAAAATTCGGTACATGATCCAACCAACGGCACTTATGGAACGCGAGATAAAGATTTCTAATGATTTTTGTTGAAAGAATAATGAGTTTCATTTTACTGGACTTAGTATTTTATCCTAAAAAGAAATATAGTAATTTTTATATGGTCACGAAATGTAGAAAGGTATCAGCATAGCCGGAGACGTCGCTTCTGTTTCAAACCTTTTTATCTTCTTGAAGCTAAAATGCTCCAAATAAATTATGAATAAGTGCTGATGAGCAAATTTTTGTACAATAAATTGTCTAAATTCTTTAACCCTTTATGGAGATGTAGAAGTATTGTTGATAGACGTAAAATAATTCAGTTATAGCTGCTGGTACTTAAAATAACAATTTCTATGTTAGATTCCCCGAGATAGATTAATTGTGAAATACTTGATGACTTTCTATGATTTTCTTCTCATCGAAATCCCACTGACTTTGGACGAAAGGACATGCAGATCACCTTAATATAATTTAGTTTCTTTATTTATAAATATATTTACATTCATATATATATTTCTATATATTTTATTTATATATATATACTTTTTTTTGCAAACATAAGTGAGTGTAAGTAAATTAATTTAATTGAAATATATTTTTGGAAGACAGTGAAAATGCGTATTTTATCCTTAAATTATTATTGTAGCCTCTTATTTATTAACTTAGATGTAAGCATAGCATATATGACATAAAACATAAAATCATTTAGCTTTAAATTTACAAATCGCTGTGAAACTACATACAAACAATATTTATTACTACGAAACATTCCAAACCACAAATAATCAAACTAAACTATTTTATAAATTTTTTTCACTTGAAATTGTCTTAAGCAAAAATTGCAAACAACAAATTAATATTTATGACATATATTTTCTCTCATGCGAAACCACATAATTCAAAATAATGAAACAAAACAAAAACCTAAAAAAAAAAAAAAAAATAAAAAATCGAAAAATTTTCATTCGGCCAATCGCTTATTGCAAATTCCAATCATCCAGTCAACCACGTCCAAATCAAATGTATCACGCCGTCTCAACTGTATTGACCTTAAGGTAAAGAACAAAAGAAAAAGAAGTAAATTTTAAATAATATATATATATATATTATTTCTGCAAATGTAAGACTTTCAAAATGTAGGTAAAGCTAAACTATTCTGTCTTAGTTCCAAATAAAATTTATGGTAGAATTTCGAATTTATTCCCAAACCAACTCCCACATACTTTTGTAAATTTTCACGCTTGTGTATATATGTACTGCACACTACCAGCGCATGTTGCTGTAAACAATTGGTTGACCAAACATAATTCACTTTAATTATCCTGAACTTCCCATACTACCATAAGCAAAATTTTATACTGTAAATATATTTATGTAATTGTAATATCAAACGTCCTGCGCTCCTTTAGATATATTAGAACTAATAAATCCTTCCCACTTTTCAAAATTTCTTGTAAATACTAGCGACTGCTTAGCTGTGTTGTCCCAAATTGTCCTAAAAAAAATACTGTGGAGCTTATTTTAATTGTATATATGTATATTTATATGTTTTTATGTTTAATAAATATGTAAATTTAAATATTAAAAACTAATAAATAAAAAAATCCCTATTTAATATCCTTTTTAAAATAGCCAAAATCCCCCGCTACCTCTTCTTCTTCTTCCAAAAACTGAAATTTCTAAAAATCAATTTGCCATTTCATTGAGTTTATAATTCAATTGTTCTGTTTTTCATTTTGTCTTTCGAATCAAGAGAAATTTTTATATACCTATACATACAAAGAAAAAGTAGTTAACAGTAAAATAAACTCAAGTCACGTTTGGTCAACAAAATTACACTCTTAATTGAACACGTTCACGATTTCTTTTCGTGCATATAAAATATTTTAACACATTTTCATCCAAATTATTGCAGTAAATATTGGATTTGTAAAGCAAGGTGTACTGAAAAAACGAAATTTTCTGAAATTAAACAAAATGAAAGCAATTTTTTTTTATTTAATTTAATTTTTATTTATATTTGTTTTTTTTTTTCAAAATGAATATACCCAGAACTTTTTAAGATCATATTAGCATTTTGATGATTTTCCAACAAACGGAGGGACCTACAGTTTATACTTAACCGCCTTCGAATGGCTGATGGTTTTTTTATGAGGAGATTTATGTCATGTCTGAAATACACTCGAAGCAATTAGAAAATTTTGCTTAATTTTTCAATTAAATTAATTAATTACAAAAAAGTATCATCGTGTGTTTAAGCATAATGGTATACCATTTGGTCCGTAAATTCAGAATCCCAGCTGGTATTGAATACCATGCTTTTGATCACTTGATCCACCATCGGTTTTAATTAGTATTCAGAGTCGCTTGAAACGCTTGAATTGTTTATAGGTTTTTAGTAATATTTGGCCTCGAGTGTCCGAAATTTCTTTTCATTCCCCTTTATTATATTGCATTAACCGTAACTCTCCGTCTATATTAGAACACCATAAAAACAATAATTACTTAACAATCACCATGAGAATGCATAGTTAAAGACTTTAGATATAAGAGGGTCAGCGAGGAGCAATTAAAGAAGACTAAATTCGTTTGGAACTGAACAATAGATGCAGAATTGATATTTAGTGGTATTATAAGTTAAGTGACCTTTCTGGGCTTAACGGAAAGATTGAAGTCTAGTTATGTGGAAGGTGTGCTTGTTAATGGACTCAGACATATGTTTTTGACTGATATTTGAGGCCAGTAACTATCATAAGTATTAAGTAAGCTTATGTGTTTTAAATTGATACCATAAATATTCATTCCGGAGTTAAGTAATCAAACCTGTATATAGAATAAATAGTTTGTAAAAAAAAAGTAAATATATAATAGAAATTAAAACATTTTCGTTAAATTTTATTCTTTTTAACTTAAAAGTTAAGTCACAAATTATGGCTGTAAATTTTCTTGACTATAAATTAAACCAAAAAAAAATATATAAATTACATATTCTAATATTTAAAATAAATTTTATTCTCTATACCTAACTCAAAAGTAAATGTTTTTCTTTGGCTTTTCAACGTCTAAAAAATTACATAGCTTTTCTTTACCAAATCCGTCTTTGATATTTCAGTGCGCTTGATTATAGCTAAAAAGATAATTTGCGCTTTAATTACATATATATAAAAAAACCGTGGTGAATAAATGAATTCAGAAAGCGAAAAGAAAAATGCTAAATACTCAAAATTTTCTACTACACACTTTAAGGACGCCGTTGCGTATACGTAACATTTTTTCAAACTTTTTGGTTTTTTTTTTTTTTTTTTAATAACAGTAAACGGCAACTAAGATAGAAGATAAGTAAAAATCAACTACTACAGGCTTCCTCCGGCGAATATAAAGCAAGTACAGAGCACAAAGGAAATAGATGCTTATCATGCCAATGATTTTTTAAGGGGAATCTGTAGCTGCAGAAAGAATTGAACACATTCTCTTTCTAATTTATTAATTTGATTCAGAAAATTACCAAGAAGTTGCAATTTAACGATATTTATTTTAAAAATTAATAATAATGTTTTTTCTTAAGAATTTATTTAGTAAGTCATACGTCCGTGTTTAACATTCTGACCCTCGGACACACTACAAGGCAACTGAAGATTTATTCTACAATTTGAAGAAATAATCTTCACTTCTATTTTTCCTATTTCTTCAACATCATCTTTTCTAACTTATTAATATTTATTTGAAAAAAAACTATGTAATACCTACGATTTAAAGAAACATAAATATTTATAAAAATAAACTTAAGCTCACTTAACAACTATATAAAACTTTCAAGCAAAAGTAAGACGCCAAAATATTCATTCATATATATAAATAAATAAATAAATTCTGCTCTGCGAGTAGGTTGGCAAAAGTAAATATTGAAGTTGCCCGAAAAAACTCAGACAAACCGGAAACTTACAGGGATTCTTATGTGTGTATAAATGCATGTATCTATATGAATACATAAATAAAATCACAAAAGAGGTTGAACAAATTTTGGAGTATTGCACCAGTACCAAAAGGCAAAGTAGCAAAGATAAATACTAAAAGTAAAGTAGCGCAGAGTTTGTGGCACTTAAAAGTTATACACAGGCGTTGTCGCCTTCCTGTAGAGGCGAATATGAGTAGGAAACGTGTAAGTAGACGCAGACGGAGAGATCTAAGAAGCACGACGGAAGTCAAGAAGCAAAAATAAATCAGAAAAGTTTTCGCATTTTGTGAAAAAGTAGATATATATTACTTTTTTTTTATTTATAACTTGTATAAATTCACATATGTATGCATATCTGTCGGTATACACATGCACATATCTTAAGTATTCCCTCAGTGCTTTTTTGGAGTGTTATATGTCCACGAGTAAGAGCTGCTGTGGCATTTAAGAAGCAGCAAGGCAAATAAAATAATAAATTTTTCTTTAATACCTCTTTGTTTTTAAACGTAGGCTGGAAAGAAATTTCTTATATGAAATAATTTATGGTCTAAATAATTACTTATTATAATTTTTTCTTGTTTGAGATATTGAGATCAGTTTTAATAAAAGTTTAAATACACAGCAAACCCGTTATCCAACAAACTCATAGTCTTGGCTTAGCAGTTTAAGGAACCGCTGCACTTAAAAATATTTTTGCTTTCCCATCTTTTATTTGCTTTTTTTGATTTGGTTCATTTAACTTAATATTTCGTAATTTTTAATTCATATAATAATTAAATTTAATTTTACCTTAATTTTATTTAAACCTTTAAATTCTTTTACTTTCTTTAGTTTAATTTATTTAATTTAGGTTTATTTTATTTAACTCTATTCATGTATTTATAAGGCTGCACTACAATTATTATTTAATTTATTTTTTTTTTCCTATTTTATTTTGTTTCATTTGATTTTATTTAATATGATGCCGTATTATTTTTTTTTTTCATTCAATAATAATAACAAACAATTATTTTATTTTACTTAATTTGAATCATTTAACCTTTTTTTATTTAATGTAATAAAATTTAATGTATTTTATTGTATTGTATTTTTAATATTTTGTTTTATTTTATTTTCTTTATTTTTATTTTTTTTTTAAATTTTTAATTTTAATTTTATTAATTTTATTTGATTTTATTTATTTCATTTTATTTATTATATTTTATTTTACTTTATATTATTGTATTTTAATTCATTTTGCTTCGTTATGTTTTCCTTTGTTTTATTATATTTTATTTTAAGTTATAATAATTTATATTTATATATATTGTTCTGTTATGTTTTTATTTTTATTATTTTTATTATTTTCTTATTTTTTTTATTTTAGATTATTTTTTTTTAATTTAAAATAAATTAATTTCATTTAAGTTATTTTATTTCAGCTTCTTGTAAGTTTTTTTGCTTTGTTTTATTTTATTTTTTTTTTAAATTTTTCATTATATTATTTAATTTAAATTTTTTTCATTTATTTATTTTAAGTTATTTTAAATTTTTTTTTTAATATTTTTTTTGTATTCATTTATTTAAATTTTTATTTTGTTTTATTTTATTTTATATTATTTGATTGTATTTTCTTGTATTTTATTTAAATTTTTTTATTATAGGTTATTTTATTTTATTGGAATTTACTTTGTTTCTCTTAAGCAAGTTTAATTAATTTTATTTTGTTATGTTTAATTTAATATTTATTTTATATTATTTTATTTTATTTTGCTTGATTTTATTTTCTGTTTTTTCTTTTTTACAATATTTTTATTTTATTTCATTTATTTATTCTATTTTATGTTATTGTATTTTATATTTTTTCATTTATTTATTCTATTTTATGTTATTGTATTTTATATTTTTTTTATTTATTTTATTTTGTATTTCCTTAGTTTATTTTTTTTTCTTTATTATATTTTATATTATTTTATTTAATTTGTTTCTTTTTATTTTACTTTAGTTTGTTTTGTTTTATTTTATTTTTACTTATTCTATTTTATTTTATTTATTTTTTTATATTATGTTTATTTTATTTATTATATTTAATCTCATATTTTAATTTATATTTTATTTATC